GGCGCCGTGGAGACAATCGAAAGCGTCATTGATCCAGGGTAAGGGGTAAACGTCCTTTTTCATGATTCTATTCAGATGGCGGTAATCCACGCAGAAGCGCCACGTGCCATCTGTATTCTTAACAAGGACAACGGGGGACACCCAAAGGCTTGAAGAGGTTTGAATAATCCCTTTGGGTAGCATCTAGGTGACTTCCTGTTGAATTACCTTACGCGTGGGGGAAAACTCCCGGTATGATTGGCGATGAATGGGAAGAGAATATCCTGTATTAATGTGGTGCTTGACGAGTGAAGTCTGGTGAAGTGGACGGCTGTCGATGTCGAATATGTCGCTGTATGAAGCCAGAAAGCGGCATAGCGCGGCTGACTTCTCAGGTTTGAGGTCCGGGGCGATCATGGAGAGTGAGGTCGCATCGAGGCACGTGGCATCCTGCGAGTGACGTGGGTGATCGGGACACACGTCTGCTGCAAAACAGGTGACGTGGTCGTCAATTAAGGGTCTTAGCATGGCGACCGAAATTCGTTGAGGTAGCACTTTCTTTATGAATCCGAAATTGATAACAGGTGAATATGTTAAGTTAGAGGCCATGGTTACGATGGAGTGTGGGACAGTAATGTCACACGCCAGGCGAACATCAGGAATCGGCGTCACAATAAAATCACCGTCGAGCACGGGAGAGGGTGTTGCCAATTCAAGAAAGTGAGAGCTTTAGGTGGTATCTGGAAGAAGTCAATGGTGTACAGGCTGTTCGGTTGTGAGTCAGCCTGTGCACCATTGAGCAATCCTGTCTTGCTCCTTCCCTGCCTGAGTGAAATTGCCGTGGCGCAAAGCCGCAACAAATGAGCACGCCGCCAGCGACTCACCATGACTATCACTGCGAAGGGCCGGGGAGTCGTTGATATTTCTAAATGCTGTGAGTATTCTGCAAGTACATGGGTACTGGGCATGCACCATTAATATTCTAAGTGTGCAAATATGACGGTTTACCGCGACTGTCTTGTAGCAAGCATCTTGCATTGCACACACCTGACACATGCATTTGCCGTCAGTACTGATGACGGGCAGCAAGACGCTTTCTAACATGGAAAATGTGGACGCTTTCATGAAGGTTTTCCTTTTTATTCATAGTGGCATTGCAGAAGAATGCCTCTCTACAATATACTGAAGAATCCTGCTCGAAGAACCAATGAGCCGGTTACGGGCGCTTTTACCACCATAACAATGAGGAACTGCTGTCTGCTGTAGGATTTTTAAGGTTGCGCGCATGCCACGCCACAAGGGGCGCTGCGCGCGGCTTTCGATGTGCTTCGTATAGGTCCTAGACAGAGTATGTAGTAGGCACCTGCTGATCGACTGATGGTGCGGCTCTCATCAAGTTCAGCGCGGCAGGCAGTAGTGTCGTTCATTGTCTAAGCGGCCACCTGTGACAACAATCTTTTTTTTATCTAACGGGGAAGACTTCAAAGATTTTTGTGAAAATACGCAACAGCAGAATTTTGTTCAAGCCGCGCAAACTGTGCAGTAGGATCTTTTCACATCCTCTGCATTACCCATTATAGTTTGGGTTAAAGGCTGAAGAAACTACTAAAAAACATTGTTTAACATTGTCAGGCAGATAGACTACATGGCACAGTACATTAGCAGAAATCAACCCTCGCAAGCGCATGACTAAGTTATACATGTGTCGCGACACACTTCGGTAGCGATCAAGCTCAGTCGGGCATTGATTTTTTCTCTGGCTCATCTGCGCAAGTTGCAGGAAGGAGCCTATCGGGCTCCAGAGCTTCAGCTTCGTACAAAGTATGCTGCTTATATTTTAGTTTAACACTTTACAGCAGCTGCTTCTATCGCAGACTGCGGGGATACATTCAGTGACTCAACATGCGCAAGCAGTTCTGTTAGGTGTAAAGGCACGGTGACCTAGATGTCTATGCATTATGCCCATTCGGTCGCAGTTCAAATTTGGTCACTGCAGTTGCATTTCAATGGAGGAGAGATGAGATAGACCCCTGTACTATGCAATGTCCGTGCACGTTAAAGAACGCCAGATGGTCGATATTTCAGTAGTCCATCAATATGGCGAAACCCGATATCATCACCATCATCATTATTATTATTATTATTAGTTTGTGTTAAGTACCCAGAAACTCTAAGAAGACAGCAAAGTAACACCGTTAGGGTTGTTGTGCAGATTGGCTATGTGGCACAGCGCGTTCGCAGAAATCAACCCTTGCAAGCACATAAGGGCGTTATGTGTGTGTATACTTCGATAGCGATCAAGCTGAGTCGCGACCGAATTTTTTCGCTGGCTCCTCTGTGCAAGTTGCCAAAAGGACCTCATTGAGATCTGGAGGTTCACATACAAACAAAGTATGCCGCTTATAAACTCTGAGCTAATACCTTACAGCAGCTGCTACATCCTTCACGTAGTAATGCCCCTGCGCATACTCTTCCGCATCCTGGATACACAGCCATTCTGTCAGTTGTGAAAGTACGGTGATAGTGTCAAATTTAAATGTCTTTGCAACACGCCCATGCATACTAATACCAACTGACATATCTTCAGCAAAGATGACGCATTTTTCAATTACTAGTGTGCGCTCGTCATTCTTTATTGCACAAGATAACCGTTTTCATCAGAGTTGTCCATGCTACACCAACTCACAGACGGCAAACGAACACTTTCAATATCGCTCAAAGTGATTGCACCACTTGTCGTATCCACACAACTTTCAGGCTCGCGTGGTGATTTAACACAGTTCAAACCTTTGAACAATAAAGTGTTTTATGCAGAGGTCCACCACGGCTCTGCTGACATACTTCCGTCACGGATATGACCTTGTAAAAAAAATCCTAATCAGATTGCAACGCAAAAAACGAGAAGAACTACTGTGGCAAGGCGTCAAACCAGTGATCTTTCAATCCACAGCGCGTGGCACTAACTACGACACCAAAAAGTCTACGTTGTCAAGGGTACTAATGGCAAGCCATTCATATACTCCACCATGTAGCGTCTCTCAGAGACGTTTATGTGGCATAATGAAATTCCAGTATTTCTCAACTGTGCTGTACTTCATTGTCAGACGTGTAGAGTAATGCATTTCGCCTGTCTTTATTGAGCAATGCCCTTCTATTTTGTCATTCTTCTAGACATTGTTCTGTTTGAAAGGCAAACGAAGTCGATATTGAAATTCGTAAGAAAACCTGGTGCTTCTTTATTTGCAATATTCCTGTGCATCTTTGCGCACACAATGCAGTGTTGCTTGAACAGTGATTGCTTTTTTTCTGTTTTGCACTTACATCGATATTTAATAAACACGTCCCTTTTAATTATATGCTTTACGTGTGAGTGATTTTGTTTTCCGTTTCTGTTTTGTTTTTCGTTTCTGTCCTGACATACTTGCGGAGCTCTCGTTGAGGCGTGGGAGCTTATGCTTCAAGCAGCTGATGAAGGGCTGTAGTTGTCGGAGTTGAATGTAAACATTAGACAGAAATCTGTCTGGTTGGGTATGAAACTGGAAGATGATTTATACTCTAACCAAAAGTTTTGAAGAAACCCGACGTTTCGAAACCGTCTTGGTCTCTTCCTCAAGGGTGACTGCGGGACTACGTAGCAGCGGCGTCTTCAAAGCACTCGCGGGGCAGATAATGACCCCCTCTCTCTCTCTCTCGTCTTGCCGTGGAGCACAGTCGAATGCGCTCCACAGCAAGACGAGAGAGGGGGGGGGGTCATTATCCGCCCCGCGAGTGCTTTGAAGACGCCGCTGCTATGTAGTCCCGCAGTCACGCTTGAGGAAGAAACGAAACCGGTTTCGAAACGTCGGGTTTCTTCAAAAATTTTGGTTAGAGTATAAATCATCTTCCAGTTGTCGGAGTACTTTTTATGATGCACTGCAACTTTTAATCCAGTTATATGACGCTGCATTGGTGTCCTTTGGTTATACCCCTTGTTTTCTGGGCTTTACTGAGTTATGGGTTCAGGTGTCAGTGGTATAAATCACAAACTTGAATATATTTTCTCTTGAAGAAGTGGTCTGAAGTTTGCACTGTTGGTATTACATGTGGAAAGGTGAATGCTCTGCTATGTGCAGCTATAAAGGGACTGACAACTGCTGTTTTTTTTTTTCCCGACGCAATTTTTTTTTTGGTGCCATCGAAAGCTTACCCTTCGCAGCTGCAATATTTTAGGATTTGAAAGGCTCTGAATACCGAAGTGTCGTTTTGTTCAGCAACGCTGATAATTAATAGCGATGCCGGTAGCCCTTGTAGCGACTTGTGCATGCTGTCATTGTGCTGCTTTCGCAGGAGTTCCTGTAGTTATGCTTGTAGCAGAAAGGGGGGGCACACTTTCATTTTCGTTATTTCTGACCAGTGTTGCTAGCATACCAAAGCAGCAATTAGGCATCAGTAGTTGTATTTGCATGCTTCGCCTCATCATGTAACCTTTGCCTCTCTCTGTGCACACACCAAGAAATTATTGGAATGCCATTGCTGCTGCCTCATTAATGCCCGATGGGGATCACATTGACTTTGCATTAACAGTGCAGGCATCAATTGTGTGAGCAGTTATTTGGGAAGTAGCTACACTATTCCAAATCAGTGCCCTCAAGAACTGCGCACATCGATAACTTCAGCATGGGAAGGCGAAATCTGTAACGTCTTTTTGTCACTTGCTTTTGTTGCAACTCAAATGAATGTTGTGTACGTTCCAACAAGCTGCATGATTGGTCTACTCTGGCGTTGTGTGTAGGGGTGACACAAAGCACATGAGGTGCAGGTATTGACCACAGGGCACCAGATATAAAATTTCTTTTTCAATGCTTGAGCAATAGCTCGAGCATTGTATCTGGCTCTAGATGATTGGCGTCCTGCTTAGTGGGTGCACACCTCTTTTAGCGCCAGCTTGAAACTGGCACAGAAAGCCAACAGCGGCCTGGGTGCCCCCTTCCTCCTATCATTGGTCCTGGCCCCCCTCCTCCCCCCCACACACTGTTGCGCAGACCCTGGAGTCCAAGCTGGCATCGTGCCGCAACTTTGTCAAGTGCCCCCAGAGGGAGGACGTCGAAGGAATGACAGCCGCTGGACTAGTCACCGGGTGAGATCCTTGTCATGTGGTGTAGTCTTATGGCCAAGAACAAGAAATGTATAGGGGATGTATAAGTGTAATGTAAAAGTGGACCAAGGGATGACATGAAGTGAATCTGTGTTATTCAAAGGTTGCAAGCTCGCTTCCTGCTGGCAGCAAGTTACCTTTTCGTCCACGTTTCTCTCTTCACGTTTACATTATAACATCCTCTATACTTTCCTTGGATGTGTTGTCTGTTAGTTCTCAATACTGCTTTTAACAATGAAAAACGAGCCCATAAGTTTGACTTCTTTGCTGTCTTCATTAAATGTCTGAAAAATGAAGACTTACTTTTGCAAAAAAAAATAAAAATCTTCTTTTCCATCATCCAGAGATGAAAAAGCAAGTTTTTTGTACAGTATGTTCGTATACATTTCACCTCGTATTATTAAAGTACTGAATATAAACTTATTGTGCGCCTCTTTACGGCAGATTAACTTGCTTTCACAAATCGTAGAACTACTCGCCAGATACTTCTTACGCTTAGCCCTTGCATCACTGATAAACGGTGTTCTTGGCTGCACGTTACACCTGTTGTACAGCAACTCCAACTACCAAGGCACGGCCAGCCAAAGTGCTAGTGTTATTTGAGTTGCCGTATACATGAGAGGTCGGATAGGGGGTGCTATTTCACAGGGCCGAAATGAACCAGGCAAACACAAAATTGTCCTTGCAGAAACATTACGGATTATTCTTAATTCCTGGTTGCTCGGCTGCCTACCTGCAAGGCGCATTTTTATGGAGGCGAAATGGCCTGCGCACTGTGCTGTGTCTGTGCACGTTGGACACTAGCTGGTCAAGATTTCCGGAGTCCTCCATTATGGCATCTGTCCTAATCGTACCTATGTGTTAGGACGTAAAACCTTATATATTATTATTGTTTACATCTTTCCTGGTGTACATTTTTTGCATATGCTTAATGTTGAATGAGCTGTCTTTAAGCTTCCCGCACCACAAAAAAAGAAAAAACACTACTGCAAAAAAAATCGTGTCTAAAATTTGGGTTGCCTGAAGCGGCATCGACTGGTAACCTGACGCAGTATTTTGTGCAGCTTTTTGTGTATATCGGCATAATGTACAATCTCTAAACCACTGCTACGATTTGGCTGAAATGATGGAACTTAACGTAGAATAAATATCATTTAAGTAAAGTTACCACTAACTGGTTTGCTCAAACGTATGCATATATTTCTTGCATACGTATGTAAAGTACATACTGTATTTACTCGAAAATAGGTCGGGCACGAATGTAGGTCGACCCCTACTTATAGTGTTCTACAACAAGAGAAAAAAAAATTCGAATATAGGTCGACCAATGTTTTTTTTAGTTTAGAAACAGAAATTGAAACGTAGCACATCTTTATTTACATAACTCAGCGTCCTTATTCCTGCCAGGGCCGTCATCTTGTCAGATGTGCAAGATGATTTAATAATCGGAGTCTTCGCAAGCATCCCTGACTTCCCAAACGATGTCATCCTTGCTGCCATCGCTGCTTATTGCCGGGTCGTGAAAGGGACGCCGCCGACATTTGCACGCAAACAGACGGTTTCGATACTTTCGACAACCCCTAATTAACATCTCATATACACAGAACTCGCGCTGCACAACACAGTAGCCCGAGTCCTCAGTGAAAAGTGTCACTTGGCACTTGAAGTTACCTGTGTAGTTCTGTCGACATGACATCGACGCAACCGCGCACAACTAAATGGTGGTGGTGATTAGAAGAAGAAGGCGCCTGATTTCTACAGCCCGGTAAGGAACACGGTGCAATGCCTAAAGCAAATGCGAACAGTCATCCTGTCACGCCGATCGTATAATGGATGAAGTTCGAAGCAGCGACGGCGAGGCCTCAGGCCAGTGCCAGTGCGGCTGCGCGCCGGAAGGCAGTAGTGGAAGTACGGCTAGCGGGCTAGGGACTTCACGGCCAATATCTAGGGAAATCCTGGGTTTCATCGCAACCACGGCGAAGCAGCTCCATTTCGTGGGGGTGGTACTTGGCTATTGCATAAATAACTTTTTTATTAATCAATTAGGCAGTCGAAAAGAAGGAGGGGGAGTCTTTATTTCACATATTATGGTATATAACATGCCTATGCAGCAAGAATAGTTTGAAGAACAGCGAGCGCGGCATTTGAGCACCATAATCTCCGCGCTTTTGGTTTGTTTGATCGTGATTATAGGTTGAGATTCCTTGGTCACGAATATAAGTCGATTGCTGATTATGAACAACATTTTTGGAGAAAAAAAGGTCAACCTACATTCAAATAAATATGGTAGCTAAAGCTTTGCTAAACAATGCTTTCCGGTAACATGGTAAATGCAGTCCAGTATGACTGTAATGTTAGATGTATGCGGACAAGAAATATGCCTGCAAAATACATTGTGGATTGAAAGGGAAGGAATAAGTAGCCAAGAGAATGTTGATATCGTTGTAACGTCGACGAAGGCAACAGTCCACGTGGCAAAGAATAAACTTTATTTGGCCGAACTTGTGGCCAGGAAACTGAATACACACTGGCACTCAAAGCGGCTAACAGAGCATCGGCTGTCGATAAAAACTGACAAGTGGTTCGGCATTTATGCATGTGCCGTCGAATATTCCAGCGTTATCGCTAGCGGTAAAGTAAATTGCAGAAAAATCTGTAAAGTTCATGTTGTCACAGTGTAACGCGAACAAAATATGACAGCAGCTTACGGCAGCTAAAAGAGCGTATTCGGGATCAGCTGTACAGCGAGACGCCTGCTTCGTTGTCGTCCCGAAAAACCGCCTGACCCACGAGCTGGAATGTACAAAACATTCCTATCATCGTTCTTTTTCATATAAACACGTGTCACTTGCCCCTCCTTATAGGAGCATCGCCCCGATGCTGATTCAGACCCACAGTATATATTTTTAAAGTGCAGTCAGTCACTCACATACGGCTTCATACGCAATACATGAACAAGTTCAGGCTAGTGCTGGCGACGCCTCGGGCATTGGAGACTGTCGGAGACGACCTCGTAGAAGACGTCACTTAGCTGGCGCGATACTCGGTATGGCCCGAAATATCGCCTTAGCAGCTTCTCGAACAGTCCACGTTTTCGTACGGGTGTCCAAATCCACACTCTGTCACCTATTTTGTACGTTACAATTCTATGGCGAGCATTGTAGCGGCCTGCGCCGTAGTCTTGTCGCTGGTGGATCCGTAAGCGGGCGAGCTGCCTAGCTTCTTCCGCACGTTCAGTGAACACGTCAGCGCCTGTGTAGGTAGCGTCCCATTCATGTGGCAACATCACATTCAGGATAGTCCGTACCTCCCGTCCGTGAACCAAGCTGAATGGAGTCGTGCGAGTGGTTTCTTGTTTAGCTGTATTGTATACGAACGTGATATAGGGTAAAATTTCGTTCCAATTCTTATGTTGGACATCCACGTACATCGACAGCATATCTTCAATCGTCTTGTTGAGGCGCTCCGTTAGTCCAATCGTTTGCGGGTGATACGCAGTGGTCTTACGGTGAGTCGTACCACTAAGCATCAGGACGTGGTCTAAAAGAGCTGCCGTAAATGCTGTTCCACGGTCTGTTATCACGATAGTCGGGGCACCGTGGCGTAGCACAATATTTTCTATGAAAAATCTCGCCACTTCCGCTGCGGTGCTTTTTTGGATAGCTTTTGTTTCGGCATACCTGGTTAGGTAGTCTTTTGTGACTATAACCCAGCGATTCCCTGCAGTAGAAGTAGGAAGGGGTCCCAAAATATTCATTCCTATCTGGTCAAACGGTGTACGTGGAACCTGAACTGGTTGCAGCTGACCGGCGGGTCTCTTTGGAGGTGACTTGCGTCGCTGGCGATCCAGGTAAGTGTGAATGTGGTGCTTGACGGCTGTTGTGAGTCGTGGCCAATAGTATCCTTGCTGTACTCTTGCCAATGTGCGAGTGTAGCTTAAATGGCCAGACATCGGCTCGTTGTGACATGCTTGGAGCACTTCAGTTCGAAAGTGTGCAGGAATAACGACCAAATAGGGAGCTCCGATGGGTGAAAAGTTTCTTTTGTAGAGGACACTATTGCGTAAGAAAAACGACGATAATGTTCTTGCATAGACTCTAGGTGCCCTCAAAGAACGTCCGTCCACGTAATTAATCAAATCAAGCAATTCAGGGTCGCCTCGTTGTTGTTGCACAATCGTGGACGCGTTGAGAACAAACACCAAGGAAGGCCACATCGTCATCGTCAGAAAGAGAAGCTGACTGTACTGGTGATCGAGACAGGCAGTCGGCGTCCATATGGCGTTTCCCAGACTTGTGTATGACCATCATGTCAAACTCTTGCAACATCAGACTCCACCGCGCTAATCAGTCGGTTGGATCTCTTAAATTAGCAACCACTGGAGGTGTTTGAAGACGTTGGCGGAGGTCATTAAACGCTGCTTGCTGTTCGTGGTTCCACTCAAACGTGGCGTCCTCTCTAGTGAGGCGAGTTAACAGCGACGCAATCCGTGTGAAGTCGGCGATTAACTGGCGATAGGAGGCGCATAGGCCCAGAAAGCGCCTGACAGCTTTCTTATCGGACGGTACTGGGAACTGTGCCACGGCCGCAAGTTTTTCGGGATCAGGCCGAACGCCGGTGCAGCTGACGACATGACCAAGAAACAGCAGTTCTTCAAAACAAAAGTGGCATTTCTCTGGTTTCAATGTGAGGCCTGCGGAGCGTATGGCTCGTAAAACAACTTCTAGCCTTTTGAGATGCTCGTCAAAAGCTGGGGAAAACACTATGACGTCGTCTAGATAAACTAAACGGGTCTTCCATTTTAACCCTGAAAGTACGGTGTCCATGAGCCTTTGAAAAGTAGCGGGCGCTGAGCACAGACCGCAGGGCAGAACTTTAAATTCATATAAACCATCCGCCGTCACAAAAGCGGTTTTTTCCCGATCTCTTGGGTCTATCTCGATCTGCCAATATCCACTTCTGAGGTCCATTGAAGAAAAGTA